CATTTTTGTAATTTATTCACTTCTAGCAAAGTATTATATTATCAAAGATATTAAAACCAGGAAAAGAAAATTAAACTTTTAATGGGAGAAATATTTTGCTCTCCCTCTCTCTATGTTCCTTAGCTTTCACCCAACAAAAAAGACAGAAACTGGCATTTCAAACAAAGAATATTTCAGTATCAAGTGCACGTGTGAAGTATTTTAAGAAAGAATATGCAAACTGAAAAAATAAAAAAAAATGAAGCGGGGATTTTTTGAATCCACTCTTCAGACGAGTCTGAGGCCTGGCCAGAGATGTTGTGCAAACTTCTGTTTTCCTCAGTATTTTAATGAAACAACATATGAACACTAAAAATAAGTTTTCATCAGTTTTCTCCCAAGGAATTCCCTCAGATAGAAATCAAGAGAAATGCAAACACAGAAGTTCCACACCAGGGAATTACTGGAAGCCTCAAGGACCTTCATCATTTACATAGTCTACAGTAAACTTGAAAAGAGCAGCTATGGGGAACTCCATCCATCTCGCTTCCCCTTTCACTTTGTTTGCTCCTTCACTGTCAGCCTTCTATTTACCACCTCCCAAAGCATCAAAACAGCACATAACACATTCAGTGCCTTACCAGGAGCATGCTGCAACAGTAGTTTTTCCCAGTTCTGAGAAAATTGTCCAAAAAGACTTAAACATGTGGCTTCCTGCAGTGGGGCAGTTCCAAGTTGGAAGGGACTGAGTACTACTCCTGGATCCACACAGGACCACCCAAAAATCAGACCATATGACTGAAAGTGCTGTCCAAAACATGGGTGCGGTGCCCACTGCCCTGCGCAGCCCGTTCCATGCCCACCGCCCTCTGGTGCAGACCCTGTCCCTCACCCCCAGCTACCCCTCCCCTGACGCAGCTCCATGCCGTTCCTGTCGCTGTCACACACAGCAGAGCTCAGCGCTGCCCCTGCGCTCCCTGTGAGGAGCTGCAGCCGCCATCGGGCCTCCCCTCAGCTCCTCTGCCCTGCAATGAGCAAACACAGGGGTCTCAGCGCTTCTCATGAGTCTTGCCCTCCACAGCCTTCATAGCTTCCTTTGGACACTCTTTAAGAGTTTTATGTCCTTTTCACGTGGGACTCCCCAAACTAACAGCAACTGAGAAAACACATTTAGCAAGATGATTGCTAATATTCCTTATTCTCTGCCTCCGCTGTCACCACTGAGCCCAAGTCTTTGGTTTCTAGGAAACATCATGTAATTTCCAGCTGTAGCAGACATTACTTCTCAGATCAAGCAGGATTTCACATCAAATATTAGCTAGAGCTTAGGAAAACTGAGGCTCCAAAACTACGCCTAAATGGAGTGGACTTTGTAAGTGGACTGGGTGGCTTAGCAAATGCTGCCAGGTTCATGTTTGCAAATGCTCTTCCCCATGCTCTTCCTCCAGTCAGGTAAGTACAGAAACGAATGTTCTCTCTTTGGCTCTTTTTATCAGCAGGAAATAATTCCTCAGTGATCTCTTCAAATTAATTCTTCATCTTTACCTTGAAATATCTTCTCCACCTGTATCTCACCAGCCTCGACTTCTCTTGTTTGGAGGATTTTTGCAAACAGCTCATCTGAGGAGGAGGGAAATGCCCTCAAATTTCAAAAAAGGTACATAGGCATCCTGCAAGTAAAAATGAGACATCATCAACATTCCTGGTGATCAGGAATTCCAAATACCTAAAAAAATCCAAGCAACTAAATGGGTTTATTTACTTTTTCTTCTAGAAACCTACTCTTTTGTCCTGACTAGATTTTATTTGTAACAAACTCTTTCAGTACATGATTTTTTTCCTTAGGGTAAATCATTGAATGTGGGAGGGACACTCAATGCTCACTGAATCTTCCTTCTAATTTTACTATTAGACGTGAACCTCATTAAATCTCAGCCTCAGAGCTGTTTATAAAGGAAATGGCTTGTAAACCTTAATGAGGCAAATGATGGGGGCCCAATGCTATCGTCATTCCAAAAAAATATTTCTTTTTCAAAGGAAGTTTTGTCTGCATGAGGACAGGTAGGATCTGCTCTGGATATCAGAATTTCCTGCCTTGTTAATTTCCAGAAATAAATTTTGATGAGATGGTGATAAATAGTTATAATACTAGGCTATTTGCCTTCAGATGGCAATCTTGATTTCTTTGTTTTTATTGCAAAATTTCTAAATACTAACACTTAACTCCAGTGACATTAACTGGTATCTATTCTAGAAGAAAGGTTTGAGGCTGTCCTCTTACAGAAGCCATGGAAACAGTTTCTTTCTGTTCAATTTCTTCACATTGCTTTCTCTCAAATTGCACACTGAAGCACAAATGACAAGAAACCCTGTTTGCCATGCCAGTGAAGGCTTTTAGAACTGAGCATAATCTGGTTTACCTATATGGCTGTACTACAGCAGATCAGCATCATGCCGGCAGGACCAAGATCTGCAGCATCGTCTCGGGTGGCCAAGGAAGGGTCTGTGTGCAACAGGCTGCACCCTTCAGTGGTGTCTTGCTGCTCATTTTCACATTGCACAGAGACTAACCAACAGCCTCAGCAGCAGTTGTGAAAGTGAAAAATGAAATGGAAAACACAGTGCATGCTCTGTACCAGTCTGACGCTTTGCTTTGAGAGATCGAGGAATGCAGTACTGTTCCTGGAGAAGAAAAGATGGAAGCGTTGAGCTCCAATGAGAGAAAAGTTTCTACCATCTGTGAGGTCCTGAAGAATCACCACCACCAATGGGAGTGGGCTGATCTGTCTCTCCTCCAGCAATAAGCTGGTAACCTATGTACTGAACATAGGAAAAAATTCACAAATTTCCCTAACCAAACTTTTTTTTTTTTTCCTAAATTGAAATAAATTCTATATCTCTCTGATTAGAATTAGGGTGCTCTGAAATTTGTTTATCACTATTCAAAGCTACCACTGCCTGCATCTTTGTTAACATATTTAATATAAATTTTTAAAAACAATGTAGTAAATGAAATAAACCTTTATTCTCATGCAATCATTTTATAAGACACAAAGCAAATATATTTGATGAGTTGGTTCCTATAGGTGAGCTGAATTTTCAACAAGAAAACACTTGATCCTATTTTGTTAGAATGCACTCTTTTACTTTTACTCCTGCTCAGAGTTACCACATGCAAGAGCCCTTCTGGGCATCGAGCTCGTATGGTAAGTTCTGCCTGACAGCAGTGCAAATGCTCCCTGTCAGTATCAGGAAAACTGAAGTTCTTCCAAAATACAAGTGCTAGGAGATAGCATTGTGTCGGCTGGACAGACGGCCACACCAGCTGAGTGGGAAATGGAAAGTTCTCTGAATGGAGCCCTGAAATTTAACAGTGCTGTAATTTACACCAAGTCTGAAGCGTGTGATTTGGAAGCAGACAGATAGGAGCGACAGCGGCAGGGAGCCTTTCTTTACATGAAGACTTGACTGGAGATGGACAGCATCAGTCCAAGCACTGCTATGAACACGAAGCAACGATCCCCAGGATGCCTGGAGGTGAGGGAGCAGTTTAATCCCATTCCTTCCCGGGTTAGCCTCTTTGCAGAGGCAGCCAATCAGGGCGCAATCTGTTGCTAATTCTGGTTACAGATATCTGTCTGCTAGACACCGCACTCCCCCCCTGCAGCTCTGCATTGGTGGCAATGCTGAGGTCTGGTTTGTATGGTGTACGCTTGCAAGGCTGTGAGCATCCACTACACAGACCCTGTTACTCATACTTCTGCGTGACTCTAAATTGACACTTTCTTCTAATTAAAAAAATGCCTCACACACTGCCTCGACTCACTGCAGAATGCTCGTTTCCTTCTCTGCAGACATGGACCCTAGACAACTGCTGAAGCTCCTCATGTACATCAGGTTCACTTCAAGATGCTGTTGAAACATTGAGTCATGGAATCACAGAAGGTTGGAAAAGACCACTAAGACCATGCTGACCAATTGTCTGCTCACCACCACCATGCCCACTAACTCACGTCCCTCAGTGTGACATCTACATCTTGCAAAACTCCAGGAACAGTGACTCCACCACCTCCCTGGGCAGCCTGTTCCAACATCTCACCACTCTTTTGGAGAAGAAATTTTTCCTCATATCTAACCTGAACTGATGTGACTTAAAGCCATTCCCTCTCATCCTATCACTTGTTACCTTAAGAAAAAGCTGACCCCCACTTGGCCACAACCTTCCTTCAGGGAGTTGTAGAGAGTGATGAGGTCTCCCCTGACCCTCCTCCAGACTAAACAATCCCAGCCCTCTCAGCCACTCCTCGTGCCCCAGACCCCTCTCACCAGTTTTACTGCCCTTCTCTAGACACACTCCAGAGCCTCAGTGTCTTTGTTGTTGTGATGGGCCCAAATAGAGTACTGTGCACAGTGCTCTAGTTGTGGCCTTACAAGTGCTAAGTGCAGAAATGGAGTATACCACTGGGCTGACTGGTAGGTCTTCCCTCCCTGGATCTCTGTGCTAATCCATAGCATTTGCAAAAGAGTTGCAGAACAACTATGGCAACGCAGAAACTCAGTGTGCACGTGTCACTCCTCCTAGCCTAATGTCTAGATGTCTTCCATGAGAGATACGTGCTTGGCAGGTCTCTGTCAAGCCGCAGTTGCTCCACTCGCGGGCCCCGTGCCCGCTGCACCTCCCAGATGCGGAGTGTCCCCGCTCCGTGCCGGCAGCCCCTCTCCGCACCGCCGCCCGCAGCCCGGCTGTGCGCCGCGCCGCCCGAGCAAATCGCATTGTCAGATGCGCCCTGATGTCAGCGCGCTAAGCTCGAGCCCCAATCTGCTCCCGGGGATGCTGATCGGCTTACGGGCCAGGAGTTTGCCCGCCGCCCTGCCCGCGCCCCAGACCGGCCTCTCCTCGCCGGGCCAGCGAGCGGGGTGCCGGCAGCGGCATGTCCCGGCCCGGGGACGGCCGGGGGGCAGGCGGCGGGACGTCCTCGCTCGGCCGTCGGGACGCCTAGAGAGCGGCGGCGGCAGGCGGCATGGTGCTGCTGTCGGGGGCCGGGGAGCAGCTGGCCGGGGAGCGGGTCTGCCCCGCGCCGGGAGCCGGCAAGGAACTGCCCGAGGCGGAGAGCGGCTCCGAACAGGGGGCGGACGGGTCTGCCGCCGAGGGGCACGGCGATGAGGAGCAGGAGGAGGAGGAGGAAGACTGCGAGGAGTATGAAGACTTCTCCGAGCTGCCCGACACCTGCAGCATCGCCTCGGACGACTCCTTCTACCCGCCGGGGGGGCTGGGGGACGAGACGGAGGACAGCTGGTCCCTGGAGCAGGAGGACCGCGACAGCCCCGAGGGGCTGAGCCTCTTCCGAGCGTGCTGCACCAACAACGCCGTGGTGCTGCGGGCGCTCATCCGGCAGGGCCCCGAGGAGGAGGAGGTGCGGGAGACCGACCGCAACCGCAGGGTGAGCGGCACGGGGGGACGCGCGGGTTGCGCCGTGGGTTTCGGCCCCAAAGGCGCTGGGACCAGGCGGGACGGGACGGGGCTCCGCCGGGCGGCGATGTGAATGTGCTCCTTGGGGAGCAGGGGGCTGCAGTCTCACTTTCCGGCCATCAGCTGCGAGTTTCAGAGAGCTTCTCTTTAGGCAGTGCTACTGTCCCTCCCCTCCCCTTCTTTCTGCCTTTCTATCTTTCCGTCTTTTGCTCTCTAAAAACTTTCAGCTTGCTCTCAGCCCCTACGTTGCCAGGCAGAACTTGCAGAATTCCTGTGCTGAAATCAGGCTGTTCTGAATTTTCACTGTATTTGTGTTGTTGGGATTCTGTGTCAGTACAGTGTTTGTGATTTGGTTTTTGACTGTCACTTGGCTAACTGCAGGGCAAGATGTGCATTTCACTAAAGCAGAAGGAGAAATCTTTTCCTAGGGGTTACTGAGGTGTTTGAGTAACATCTAAGTTTAGCAGTAGCAACTCCACTCACTTCTATTTCTACAATTCATATAAAAAAAATTATAATTTTTACATGGAGTTTCCAAAAAAAAAACTCCAAGTTTTTCTGGCTGTTATGTTCATAGAATGGAATCATAGAATGGTTTGAGTTGCAAGGGACTCTAAAATGTCATCTAGCCCACATCCCCTGAAACAAAGAGGGGCACCTGCAGCTCGATCAGGTGCTCAGAGCCCCCCCCCCCCCCCCCCCCAGCCTGACCTTGAGTGTTTCTAGGGATGGGGCTTCCACCACATGTGACATATATGACAGGAATGTTTTGAAATAAAGCCAGAGTGATTTTATCTGGGCAAGTAGCTTGCATGTTCTCAAAACATAAGAAATCTCTGCATGGAAAATTGGGCAATAATTTGGTTTGGATGCTGTTCAAAGTTGTCTTTATTATGTGTACTTTCAAGATTTTTTCCTGCAAAATGTATTTCCTTCCATCAACAAAAGATTATTGTAATACGTGTATTTCAGTGACCTGACTCGCAGCAAACTTCTATGAAAGAGATGAATGCAACAAGTTGTATGAATGCAGCTGAGGGGGCAGCCAGCAATGCCATGGGAGTAGGAGCGAGCCATAGAGCCTAGAAATACTTTAAATCAACTTTCTGCCAAAGCCAACTCGTGTTGGCTGGTAACACAAGTTGCAGGGCTGCACTAGAGCAGGCCTGGCAGGGCGTGTTGGTGCACCTGTCTGCATCTGAGGGTAGGACTGAGCTTGGGCTCCAGCCTGTAGCAGCATTGCATGGCCGTGGCCTCCATCAAGGGTTGAAGGTTCAGTGCTCCCAAAGTGCTTGGCTGTGAGGCAAGCTTGGGTCCTTGGTGCATGTGGTACAAAGGCCTCCCTTTCTGGACAGGAGGCTGTCGCAGCAAAGCAGCCTCCTCTTGTAGGCTGGGGCTCAGGGCTGAGCACAGCTGACTGCCCTCCCTTCCCCGTCCTGCTTCACAAAGCTAGCTGCTTGTCATCTTTCCACTATCCCAGAAAAGAATCAGACCTTTAGCTTGGATTCAAATTTTGAAGTTACTTGTTCATACTGTATAAAGATAGTTCTGCTCTACTTACGCAAATATGCAGTTTGATGTGAAATTAAGATTTGACACCAAATTCTGTTTTGTTCATTTTGGGGAGAAAACGAAGTAAAAGAAATTCTGGAATTCAGCAGCTTCTGGAAGCCTCATTGGTGGTGCGAGGAGAATGAATGCAGTCTTTCTCTCTGCCTGAGGGGATATGACCCTGCACGGAAGTGCCCTGATGGCAGCGATGCAGAGCAAGGCAGTCTGGCTTTTTCAAACAGATGTGAATGGGACAGGAGAAACGTTTCTGCTGCATCTCCAGGTGTCCCACAGCAGGTTCAGGCACAGCATGGGACCAGTACACAAATGAGCAGCCTGGCTAAACCACAGCACAATCTCCATTGGCTTTAAGTAAAGTGCCCAAAAAAATCGCTGATTCCTCTTCTAATATTGTGCGTCTATTCCCAGTTGGCTTTTATTCTTTCCCAGACACTGGTGTTCACAAAGTCAGCAAATTCACATTATTTTGCAATAGAACAGCCATGTTTCTGACAACTTTACCTGACAAAAAGGAATCCCTCAGCTCTTTCTTTTCCCTGTGGAATTTTTTCAGCTCTTGAATTTGCCTGCTATATAAAATCACTATAAATGGCACATAAGCAAAATGTATTTGTATTGCCTAAAAACAACTAAAGGAGTTACATTTTCCACTTATACTAAGAAAGCTATTTTAAATTCCTCAAATTTGTACTAATAGCTTTCAAAGTCCATGATACTATTTGTTTACAATCCATTATTGCATGCTGTTATTGAAAAGTTGGATGCTTCTTTTTTTTTTTCACACTGAACAGATAAGAAGAACTTTTGTTGCTTCTCAAATTTTCTTTCTTTTCTATCAGGCAGTAGAGAGAAGGATCACTTGCTTTGGAGAAGCGCAGTGGTGAAGGAAGGGCTATCCGATTAAATAAACTGACTGTGTTCACAGCTCTGATCTGATAACTTCTGTTATGTATGTACTATGCACCTGCATTTCCACAATTTGTTTTCCTAAACAGTACTTTTGTTAGAAAGTGCAATATGTTATGGCAGAAAGATAAGATCACATCGTGATTCTCAAAGTGATTAAATGCAAATCTCCAAACACAACATGAGGAAGAAACTTCCAAATGGTTAAATCCTTAAAATGAATTTGGGAGTGAACAGCTGGAGTTTTGGCGCTCTTCTGCTTTTATATTTTGACCCCAGCCCTAGAGCAATCTATTCTGTGAGCAAATTATGATTTGGAAGAGATTATTTCCAAAAATGCCAAAATCTAGAAAAAAGTTTTCATATTTTTCTTGATCCTTTTCATAGAAAGACACCATTTCTCTCATTTGAGACTGTTTTCCAGGCCTCCACGGTGACTTTTCGCAAGATTTCTGCAGGAGCTGACTTTTCCTGTGCTCTGTTTATGAGCTGCAGGATCTCCCATTCAGGAGCCACCTGTCAGGCACAAACTTCCATTAAACCCACCTTCCTGCAGTAAACATTAAATTCACCATCCTTCACAATGTCCAACCTACTAGTCACCACAGCCTCAGGACTGATGTCTCCCTGTGTCTCATTTTCATTGTCGTAAAGGAAACAGCAGTTTATATGCCACGATGTGTACATGCAGATTCCCAAAAAGGTTCACCCCTGCATCCTCTGCAGCCCTACTGGCTAAGTATGGATTCCAGAAAAGCCAGCTTGATGTTGCTTGTTTCCTCTCCTTGGCAGATCTGATAACAAAATATTTGGAAAACAACTATGACAGCGTATAATGAAATAGTTGCAGATCAAGCAGGATTGCCTCTCTTACCTTAAAATATTTACCTGTCTCATGCTGCAGTATTTACCTGCCTCACTCTGGCAGTAAAGAGGGTTCTGCAAATATGTAGAAGATGAAATCTTGGCTTCAGTGAAAATTCCTGACCTGACTGGGACCAAAGTGCCAGACACTGCTTTTCACCATGTGATGGGGGAACTGCTTTTCTTTCCTCCTTGCTAGCTGTATTTCAAGAATTTTAGTTACTTACATTTCATAAGTTTGACATAATATTAAATCCTGTCTGAAGATCAGGATTATGTATACTCAGAAAAACAGAGATTCAAATTTTGGTGTTACCTAACCACAAAATGAAATTTGCCATGTCAGGCAATGAGGAATGAGAGAAAAAGATGAAAAGAAGGCAAAGAACATCCCCCCCCCCCTCCACCAGAATTAAAATAATCACTGTAGCTTATCCTCAGATTGGTTTTGTGTTGGCTACATAACTTGTATAGTCTGTTTTACTAACTATGCTGAAGGTATATATTTTAGGGTTGATATATGTACCAAAACATTCTGTTGTAGTCTTTGGCTTTTCATATGTTAAGTCACTATTCAGTGAGTCTTTCACCCAGTTTCAGGCATACTCAGGAACCACTGCTAGAAGAATTCTTGGAATTAAACAGATTATTGTGTAAGCATACCATTATATAGTGGAGCTTGTGCATTTGTGTTCTTACTTCATTCCTCTTAAAAGATGTGAAGACAAAATAATCTATGTGGCTCAGCTTGTGAACTCCTTTCAGAAAATATTCCTAAATCCATATTTGAGCACAGTTGATTTTTCACATAAATTCTTCATTCAGGATGCTGTTAATCAGTGCTGCTCAGTAGCTGGTTTTCCCTTGGGCCGTGGTAGATCCACAGCTCTCTCATCAAACAGACCTGGATTTGTGTCTTTGTTCTTCTCTCCTTTTTCTGTTAAAGGAAGAGAACTGATCTGGGGCTATTCTTCACGATCTAAATTTCTTTTCATTTCTTCTCTCATTAGTGGCTGATGCTCAGTAGAAAAACAAATGAAGAAATACCTGGGGAGGGACAAGGACTCTGCTTGAGAACTCTGAAGTTGCTACTACTCAGTAAGCAAAAAACAGGTAGCAGTGTGCTTCCAGGCACTTACTTGAAAAACTGGTGAGAATGTAGGGCTGGAAGTCAGTCTGCAGAGGATGGAGCTGGAGAGATTTTCTGTGGGGTGAAGTGGAAGAAGATTTCCACTTTCTCCTTCTTTGCTTGGCATAGAACAGTGGGTTTCTCCAGAGCGTGTTTCAGGGGTCTCTGCTACGCTTGAACTCTGCCAGGTTAGGTACTGTCACCCTTCATGGATATGCACAGCGAGTACTCAGTGGAGATGGCACCTGAATTTGCCTTTGCTAAAGGCATATATTCCTAAAATTGTGACTGACGGAGGAGGACACAGAGCCAGTGGTTCCCATTTCCTGGGTAAGGAATTACTGGGTTTGATAAGACTTCTGCAGAAATCATGCATCACAAGAAGTGTCAGAGCTTGGGTAGCGTGGTTGTTATTGTTGTTTTTGTTTTATCTGCATGATGTTAACCTGCAAAAAGGAAAAACAGAGTCTGTAGTATTTTGTGGAGGAAGATAAGATGAA